CTGACCTCGGAGAAAACAGAATCATCTCCTACTTAATTTCACAGACACTCATTTACGGACATTTTCATAAGGGAAAGCCGGGGCGAGGGGGAGGCAGGGAGGGAGGGAGGGAGATTAAATTGCTTCATGCATTGATAATATCTTATATTTTGTATTAGCGCCAGGACAGGGCAGAGTCGAGGAAATAAAAAAGATAGAGGGAGAAGCAGGGGGGAGGACGGACTGACCAATCTCTGGACAATCTCCTTAATTTCACAGAAACTCATTTACAGGCATTTTCCACAGAAGAGTGCTGGGATTAAATTGCTTCATGCATTGAAAATGTCATATTTTTTGTTAAGGGGAGAGGCAGGAGATAGAGGGCTTGAACCTGCGTTTTCTTTCCAAACCCATTCAGCAGTAGCTGCTCTTTAAATCCCATCAGGCTATTTATCAGCTCACTGAAATAGCAGCCGGACACAAATAGACTTATCCAGAGTTTAGGTCCTGGTCGTGTGTGATATACAGTATATATGAGGGTAGAACACAGGTGTTGTGATATTTAGAGGTGGTTTTGACTGTGATGAGGTTCGTGTAACAATAACTATTACACCAGTGAAAACATTTTTGATTAACATTTCAATCACAGCAAGTACGAAGCTTGGAGAAAAGGACAGTGATGTTACGGTGTTTTGCTAATGGCTAGAAAGCTGACAATATATAGTGTGATGTTTAAAACTAGAATTAAAAAAAGAAAAATCAGCTCATTCTTATCTGCTGTCTACTGATGCCAATGCTGTGATGTAAACGAGTCAATTCAGGCAAAATTAAAATGAAAAAAAAAATACATTAAAAACTCCTTAATTCAAGTTTCTGCTGTGTTTGAAGACTGGAATTTCTACAAATAACAATTCTTAAAATTACGTCTTAAAACTTTTTGACTCACCCTTGTTATTCTTGTAGTTGACAGATATCCAGAAATCCAATCTTGATTCTGTTTATTTTCTTCTAGGATTAGAAATTTTTTGTGTGATGATGTTTGTTTCCAGACCTTTGTATAATCCAGAAAAAAAAATGTTTTTCTGCGTCTCATAGATATAATTAGTTTTCAAAGTCGCTTTTCATGACCATGATATCAGTGACTCTTCATCCTTTTTCTGTTCCTTGGAGAAAAGAAGAATTAGCCTGCTCTCATTTTCTGATGTGACACTGTGCTAATTAGGCTATTAGCACATGGAGGTGTGTGTGTGTGTGTGCATCACTGTTAGTGTGGATGACTAAGGAGTTTAAGTTCACATTTTTACCCCTTCTTAGTTTAGAGCGAAGGTTCAAAAACCGTTTCTGCAGCGTCTCCTTTTACAGATGTTACTTTAAAACTTTATTTATTTTCCCATCATTCCTACAGAACTGATATTCCCGTCGAGTGAAGGAAATTACATTTGTTGCCATTTCCCCGTTGTGGTAGAATTAAAGCACAATTTAACGTTCAAATCCATGGTCCCTGAGGGGGCACTCCCCTCACTTTGGGAACCACACAATCAGAGTCAGGTTTTCCCAACTGCAGTCGGGCGTTGACCGTATCTGTGACTGTACGTTTACATTTTGTTTTCTAAAGTCTGAAGTGAAAGTTTTTTTCTTTGTTAAATCTAACTTTAAGAGTTACAAGATGTGATTTCTGCTGCTCATTTACAAAGTTATATTTGCCTTTTCCTGAGAAGACTATTAAAGTCCACTGAGAACCAGATTTTAATTTTTTTTATTTCTATTGTTTCTTTCCGTGCACTGAGCCTCTGACCTCACTTGCCTGCAGTGTCTCCTCTGCTGTTTTAAACACACACATACAGTAAGGCAACGCGGTCCACATGTTGGGACCCCGCCTCAAACACAGCAACGTCCATGGGAGTTTTTTTTTTTTTTTTTTTT